TAATTATTGAAGTTTCTTTTAAAACTTACAGATTTGAGCTAGTTCATTTAGTAAGGGAGATATTCAAAAACGTTAGGAATACATTTATAAGTTGCTAAGTGCCTTTTCATTTGGAGAGAATCATATATTTTATTGTTTCAACTTTATGATTTATTCAATAATGATAGTTTATTAAACACAGTAGTCAGAAAATAAACAAATAATTATAAAACACATTATCCATATAAGTTGTGCATACAGTTATTACAGCAATGTTAGATTCCCATTGTGTCAGATTAGCATTGTCTGCCCCCTCTTTATGCCCCTTTTATTTATGTACACTCCTAAAAAGCATTGGTACACACCCACAATATCATCCAATAATAAAGAGACAATGCGAATCTGACACAATGGGAATCTAACATTGCTGTTAATATAAAAACTTTTTAAAACAAGCTGTAACAAAATCATTGTACATGTAACTATGCTATCTCTCAATAATTTCAAATATTGTACTGGACACAAAACAGGAGATCATTTATTAAAATTGTCAATATTATACCCTTACTTACATTTATAATTTATATTACTGTTAGCATTAACAATAACCATTATAAGTACGTACAGTATGTGTAAAACAAACGGTAACAAAAACATTATTAGTTAAATTTTGTATACCACTTATTAATACAATAATAGGCTTGAAAATAATGAGCGTTTGCAACCTTATTTTATTCACGTATTATCAAAATTATTATAAACATAATAATAATTGTGCTAATCACATATTGCTTATACACTCTGTCAGGTGTATAGTGGACTACTTGGGGCCCAAAATCCGAATACTAGTCACACATCAAATCCAATTCATACGAAAGGCTACGAAAATCCTTGTGTTAGACGACGGAAAGTGTTTAGCTTTGGGAACGTTTGACGAACTGTTGGCCAAAGGGTTGGACTTTATGGCACTCATCGACGGCACTGACAACGACAATAATAACGGCGGCGACAATGAGAGGGAAGGGGTTGTGGGGGTCGTTGGGGGCGGGGAGGGTGTGATGGGTATGTTTGAGGGTCAGATGTCTGCCGGTAACGCTCCGGACGTAGTGTCGCCACGTTTTGGTAGTATTTCGAGGGCGAGTTTGAACGTCCCCACGGGAAATACCAGTTCAGTCCGAAGGGGTTCAACTCTAGCTAGACGTCGGGCCAGCTCTATACGGGTAATAATTAATCTTGATTAGTTAGATCAATGTTAACTACCAAGACCTCGCTAATACATAACACACATGATTTATACATGTATTAATTTTTATTATTTCTAACATGCTTGTTTTATAGCCAAGAAAATCTATGGTTGAGTTGGAGGCGCCGCACATAGAGGAGGAACTGCAGACTCAGGGCTCGATCGGTGGTCGGGTGTACTGGTTGTACGTGAAGGCCGGGTGCGGCCTATTTATGGGAACCGTTACATTAGTGTTCACTTTTCTATCCCAAGCCTTGTTTCATGCGTCAGACATATGGCTACTCGTGTGGTATATATTGATTGCCAATTAAAATTAATTAATACTTAACTCGTTTGTAAATTGTATGTTTATTATTCCCTGTATTAAACCATAAGGGCCTCGCTGTCTGAGACGGGACAGTTTACTACCGAGAAAAATCAGTTATACGTGATTATATACGCGGTGCTAATCGCGGCCCTACTGTTGGCTACAATAGTACGTGTGTTGACGTGGTATCGCATTTGTCTGAAAGCGGCCAAAACTTTACACAACCGGGTGTTTACTACACTATTCCGGGCGCCTATGGCTGTGTTTGATAGCAACCCTATTGGTATTAAATTATAATTAATTTTACCATGTTTTATAATTACAAATAAATTTAATGCACGATTAATTAATCATGATTTATTTTTTTAATTGACCAGGCAGAATTATGAATAGATTTTCTAAAGATGTGAGCGCTATCGACGAGGTGCTGCCCAATGTGTTGTACGAAGTGAACTTGGTAAACCATAATTTTAGTTATTCAGATAGTAATAATAATATTTAATTAATGCATGTTTGATATTTAATAACAGGGAGTGTCACTAATAGTGTTTACAATAATAGTGGCCGCCTTGGTCAATTATTATCTGGTAATACCCGGCGTTATTGTATTAATACTATCTGTATTTGTACGCAATATTTACATTAAAACCGCGCGTGATATTAAACGTATGGAGGGTTTAAGTATGTAAATTACAAAAAAGTAATGCATATAATAAACATGATAGTTATTTATTTTTTAAATAGCCCGCAGTCCTGTGTTATCGCACGTGAGCGCAACGTTACGGGGTTTGGCGAGTATTAGGGCGTACGGCGCGCAACAGGCCTTTCGAAACCAATTTTACAAATACCAAGATGATCACTCGGCCACCTGGTTCATTTATTTGGCAGCAGCTAGAACGCTGGGCATTACCATTGATTGGTTGTGTGTTATTTATTTTATTGTTGTAGCAGTTGTGATCATCGCGCTTAATTATGGTACTATAAATACCTTGGTGTTACATTGATTTGAATAATAATGTTGCTCATTACTAAACTATTTATAGGTGGCGTCACAACGAGTGCATTTGCTGATATACAAGCAGGTAAACTAATCAAATAATGTACTCAATATTTTAATTGTAACTATTTTACAATCAGGGTAAGTTTATTATCAGTGATAATGACTTATTATTAATAAGATCATTTATCACATTTATAAATACTGTATTAATTTTTATTATACATCTAATTAAATTCTAAATAAATTTAATAACTAGATTATTGTTTTATTTAACACAGCTGGCAGCAGTATTGGTTTGGCATTTGTATCAGGTAACAAATTAACTATTGAAATGTTTAATGAAATAATGTTTAAATTAAAATTATGATAATTTTGGGTGTATTTCAGTGTTAATGCTAATCAATTACACGCAATACGGTGTGAGACAGTCGGCCGAAATGGAGTCTCACATGACTTCAGTCGAGCGCATCATTGAGTACACAAAACTACCTCAAGAGGCGGACCTACTGTCCACTCAACACAACACACCCGACCCTCAGTGGCCACAGACCGGGGGTATAGTCTTAGACCACATGTCGCTCATCTACGACAGCGCACCCGACAAACCGGTGCTCAAAGACATCACGTGTGAGATAAGGGGCGGCGAAAAGATCGGTATCGTTGGCCGCACGGGTGCGGGCAAGTCGTCCGTCATATCGGCGCTGTTCCGTATGGTTGAGCCCACGGGTCGTATAGTCATCGATGGTGTCGACACCAAACGCATCGGTTTGCATGACTTGCGTCGGGCGCTGGCAATCATACCGCAGGAACCGGTAGTGTTTTCGGGCACAATTCGTAGTAATCTAGATCCTTTTAGCGAACATTCAGATACGGACATCTGGTCAGCGTTGGAGTCGGTGCAGCTCCAAGACGTGGTCAGTGCCATAACTGGTGGTCTGGACGCCAGTCTCAGCGGCGGTGGCATAGAGTTTAGCGCCGGTCAGCGCCAGTTGGTGTGCTTAGCCCGGGCTATACTCCGTCACAATAGGGTACTAGTGCTCGACGAGGCGACCGCTAATGTTGACCACCAAACCGATGCACTCATACAGCGTATTATAA